GCCTCTGCTAACCGTGCGCAGACAGAACCTACTCTGGGTTGAGTTTTTAGGGTTTAGGGTTTAGGGGTTTAGGGGTTTAGGGTTTAGGGTTTAGGGTTTAGGGTTTAGGGTTCTTGTTAAGGGATTTAATTTAAGTTACCATAATAAGGAAACCATCTTATTTACTATAGATCCCTATTATGGTAACTTAAATTAAATCCCTTAACAAGAACCCAGTAACAGGGGCGTTGAGGCTTCCTTTTTCAGGGATCTCTCTAAGGAAACTCAGTATATCCGGTAGGCTTCAGTGCGCTTTGTTGGGAAACCTCCTTGTCCAGAAGAGCGATGAACTCCTCTGCCGCAGTTGATTTCTTAATCCTGGGCCACGAATTTAGGGCTTAGGGTTTAGGTTTTAGGTTTTAGGGTGTCAGGGTGTAGGGATTCTATAACGGGTTTTGTTGGGGTTCTGGTAAAGGGTTCCTTGTTGGGTTCAGTAAAGGCCGCTAATTTATGGGGCGATCGTGGTTTCAACAGGGTTGTGGGATAGTGTAGGGGCCGGAATAATTAGAAAAGGGTTCCTTGCAAGGGCTCCCCGAAGCGCCTCCAAAGGGTTTGTAGAGTTGTACAGGAGCCTTGATGGTTTACACGTATTTCTTTGTGGTCGCTATGTCGTTATAAAGCTATAATGTATGTCTCAGTTTTATTGAACCACGAGCAAGTATATGCAGCCTCCGTATACCCCCATAAACACCGTAAAACCCTCATGGGTCCCTGCAGTGGCCTTGAGAAAAAAACCGATAATGGAGGAGCCTGAACAAATAGAATGGGGTTTTGGTGCCCATTATACTACAATTGTAGTAAGGACCCTCCCAAAAAAAAATATATACATATATAGGTAATTATGAAGGCCCCTATAATCCTAAATCCTGAACCCTAAACCCTAAGACCCCAAAACCCAAAACCCAAAACCCTAAACCCTTAAGCCCTAAATCCTAAACCCTAAACCCTTAAGCCCCTGAAACGCCACACACACCCTAAACCCAAAGCCCTAAGCCCTAAACCCCATATTATTAAAGCCTAAAGCCTAAACCCTAAACCCAAAGCTCTAGGCCCTAAACCCTAAGCCCTAAGCCCTAAACCCCTAAAGCCCTAAACCCCAAAAGCCGCAGTCATATCATCAAAAACCTAAACCCTAAGGCCCTTAAACCCTAAACTCCAAACCCGAACTTCGCCTTGCCGCCGGTAAACGGTGAGGTTCTGCCTTGGTCTCCAAGGCGGCAGCAGGTGGCAAGGTCGCCTGGAAGGGCGGGTGGGGGGTACTGGGATTTAGGGCTTTTTTAGGGGTTTATAGTTCAGGGGGTTTTAGGGTCTTAAGGTTTTGCAAATTTTGGGGTTTTAGGGTTTAGGGTTTAGCAAATTTGGGGTTTTAGGGTTTAGGGTCTTAGGGTTTAGCAAAGTTGGGGTTTTCGGGTTTAGGGTCTTAGGGTTTAGCGAGTTTAGGGTTTTAGGGTCTAGGGTCTTAGGGTTTAGCAAATTTGGGGTTTTAGGGTTTAGGGTCTTAGGGTTTAGCAAGTTTGGGGTTTGGGGGTCGAGGGTCTTAGGGTTTAGCAAATTTGGGGTTTGGGTATAGGGTTGAGGCTTTGGGGTTGTGGTTACTATAGGGGCCTTAATAACTAGAATAGGGTTTTGGGGTTCCTTTGTAGGATAATGATACTAAGGAACCCCTAACAGAATGTTGGTAATTATGCAGGCTTCTATATTACTAGGATTTAGGGTTTTAGGGTTGTTGGGGTTTAGCAAATTGAAGGTTTAGGGTTTAGGGCTGAGGGTTTGGGGTTGTGGGTTGAGGCTTGAGGGGTTAGTGGTTTAGGGTTTAAGGTTCGAACAAGGATGACCATACGGGTTCGTATAAGGGATTTTGGGTGCAGAGGTTTCCTTTCCGGTTACTCTACGGGTTACTATGGCGGTTTACAGAAAAGGTTGAGAAAAGGTTGCTATTAGAGCTCCGATAAGGGCTACTATGATGCTTGCAGCAAAAGGTTACCATAAGGGGTCGCGGTCCTATAGGGCCCTGTAGGGGTGCTACGAGGGTTCCCATAATAGAACCGGGGCTACTTGAAGATTGGGATTTAGGACTTTGCGGTGTAGGGTTTGTTGGGGGCTGAGGGTTTATAGGGCTTGCTGTGATGTTGCGCTGTGGCATTGAAACTTATGCAACACAACGAATCGACTGCCCGGTTCTTTGCAGCAACGATGCAACGAGGGCCACCGCACAAATTTACCCCCCACCTCCGGCGGCCAAACCGCCCCAACCTAGCTGATTGGCAAGTTTCTCCAACATACCATGTAATCAGAGATTTTGTCGAAGGCCTCGAAAACACAGCGAGAATCTGCGGATTCCGAATGGACCCGTCCCGCAAAAAGGCGAAACGGTGAATGGCGGTCGCGTAGCTGGTTGTCGCGGTGCGGCCGTCTTTGTCGTCGTGTTAGCAGTCGTAGTAGCCGTCGTCGCAGTAGTACGAAGAAGAACCAGCGGAAGAGTAAGAGGAAGAGTAAGAGTGAACTAAGAGTAAGAGTACGAGCAGTAGTGCCCAAAACCTTTAACACCAAACACATAAATCAAAACACCAGTGACCATGGTGTAACCAAACTAAACACACGTAACAAAAGTAAGAACCAGATTACAGGTTGAAGACGGCAGAAACTAAACTCTGAACCCCAAACCCTTAGACCCCTAAACTTGAAACTTTAAACCCTAAACCATAACCATAAAAGCCCAACTGAAGTCCCCCAAAGTAAGTGTAAAGACATCGGCCTCTGGAGCAAGGGGCTCTCCGCCACGACTCCTCAGCTTGCTTGCTTTGCGCCGTGCCGGCAGGTCTAGACTCTTGGGCGCTCGAGGCTTAAACCCAAAACTCACGGTTTAGGGTTTGGGGGTTTAGGGTTTTTAGGGTTTATAGGGGTTTAGGAGTTTGGGGTTTTGGGGATTTAGGGGTTTGGGGGTTTCGGATTGTTAGGGTTTAGGGGTTTGGGGTTGAGGGGGGCTTTTGGCCTTGGAGTTAACAGGCTCTAGGCGTAGGTGCATTTTGTGAAGTTTCTGGGCGCAGGGGGTCAGGACTTGGCCCTAAACCCTAAAACCCTAATCCTAAACCCTAAACCCTAAACCCTAAACCCCTAAACCATAAACCCTAACCCTAAACCATAAACCCCTTACCTTAACCGGTAAACCCCTACGTACCCCTAAACCCTAAGCCCCTTTTCAACCCGAAACCCCTTAACCCCTTAACCCTAAATCCTAAACCCTGAAGCATCCAGCAGAAAGACACCCCTGCGGCCGAAGCACAGCGCCAGCTGCTTCGGGGGTACGTAAAGGAATGTCCCCAAAACCTCTGCCAGCCGCGACACCGAAGTCTCCTGTGCGAGACTTGGACTTGGGGGGGTTTAGGGGGGAGGGTTGAGGGTTTAGGGTTTAGGGTTTAGGGCTTCGGGTTTAGAGTTTAGGGTGTAAGGCTTGGGGTGTAAAAATATCTGGGTTAGAGGGTTCCTTGCTCGAGATCTCACTACATGTTAAAGATAATGCTCCTATACTACATAGAACCCGATAAACCCCGCCATAAAGCGTGCAGGCTCCAGGAAGTAGGGTTGAAGCTCAGGTTTTCGGAAGGTGCAATTTACTGGGTTTGGGGTTTAGGGTTTAGGGTTTGGGGTTTTCGGAAGGGGTGGAAGGCTAAAGTAGGGTTTTGGAGCGGAGTATCGTATAAGAAACAGGGGCGATAAGGGGAATACTCGTAGAACTATTCCATAAACCCTAAACCCTAACCCCGAAACCGTGACTATGGCGGCCGGGGTGCGAGGACCATGCGCCAGGCAGGCTTCTTCGGAGCCATCGGGTTCACGATCTAATGTTTAGGGCTCAGGGCTTTAGCGTTTCGGGATATAAGGGCTCCGGGTTTAGGGTTTATAGGGTTTGGGGTTTAGAACCGGAAGGCCACAAGGCCAATTGTGAGGGGTTTAGGGCTTACGGCTGGGGCTTCAGGGCCAAGAGCTTCGGGGCTTTTCATCAAACCCTAAACCCTAAACCCTAAACCCTAAACCCTAAACCCTAAACCCTAAACCCTAAACCCTAAACCCTAAACCCTAGACCCTGTCCTGCCCAAGCCAGACTGTGTATCCTGATCTCGGAAAGCAGTCTACGTCTGCCAGGGATCGCACCAAGACCTGGCCAGGGTGTGGCAGACCACTACGGTTTAGGGTTTAGGGTTTAGGGTTTAGGGTTTAAGGTTTAGGGCTTACGGTTTAGGGTTTAAGGTTTACGGTTTAGGGTAAAGTTTAGGGGCTTAGGCTAAGGGTTTGACTATAAAACACCCCCAAAAGCAAGAAAAATAGTCAACAAGCACCTAGCAAAAACAGAGTAGTCGCCATACTTTGGGGCCCAGGTAGGGCTTGGAGGCCAGGACGTAGGGACTGTCAGAACATGTTGGGCTCAAGGTTGCGGCGTTGAAGGCTAAGAGGTTCAGGATTGAAGATGCCTAGTCACAACTGGGTTCTTGTTAAGGGATTTAATTTAAGTTACCATAATAGGAATCTACAGTAAATAATAGGGTTGCTGTATTGTGGTAGCTTAAACTAAGTTCCTTAACAGGAACCCAGAAACTGTGGAACGGCTTTCACGAGGGACTGGTCCATAAGTACAGCGGCTACAGCAATGTGAGCAAGCATTGCCTGGAATGAATAACATGGCCAGCAACATAACTGCACATCAGCAGGGAACTGCATGTCCGGACCATTGAACCTGCAGCAGTAAGTTCTAAAGCCTGAAGCATAGACATCAAACTGCAGAGAGCATTGAGACAGCTCCATGGGGTTTCTCCGGTGTTCATGTTTGCTGTAGGGGAAACCTTGTATGAGTTGCGAATCCCTTTCCTCCGCTGCCGGCACAAAAGAGCCTGAAATTGAAGCCTCGAATCCCTGAACAGCCAACCCTCAGCGCAATTATCCGAAGCCATACCGTGAATCGACTGCACGTCAACTTCAAAGACGGCGTTGGTGCGGCGAAAGGAGGGGCTCCCCTCTACACTTCGGAACGATGTGAACTGTCTTTGCATACTTGCGCAACAATGAGTTTATCTTGTACGCTAAGGCCCGAGCAATTCCCGCTGGAGACTGTCTCTGAGATAGTGGAGCCACAAAAACCTCTCAATCCTTATCCCAAGCTGCAACCTCCATATTTTACACTTCAACGTGAGACCCCCTGAATCAGGGAACGCTTATCCCTTCTACACCCTGAATCCTTTATTTCCGAGGCCTCGGTAAAAGGGGCCGAGCCGAGGATTTCAGGAAAGGCGGCTTCGCCGTCTCCGTCCATGGCTCGGGAGAAG